TTCCTTGGTTATAAATATTGAAATAAGAAGTCAGAAGAGTCCATTCCACCCAATGTTTCCCTAATATTTTTAAAAACAAAAAAAAACAAAAACAGACGTTTTTAACAAGAATTCTTTGTGAACATTTTGTTCGACTATTCCTATAAGGAAATCAGTTCATCTCTCCACGAAATACAATCCATATAGGAATCATCAGAGCAAAAATTGAATGAGGAACCAAATCAAGTCAGAAAATTGTTAATAGATGATTAAAATTTGAAATGCGGTGGAGAGAATAAATCTGGAGTAGAACTGTTTATTTCCCTTCAATTGTTGATTCAAAAAATGTTCTACCTTATGAAAAATGAATCAGTTAAATTGAATTGAAAAGAACAAATTTCACCGGATGTAAAAACAGTCCTTGCTTATTTTGAAAAAAATAATTAAATCTGTCTAAAAACACAAAAACAAATGTTTTTGTAAAAAAACTGTTTTTGAAAAATACATAGAAATAAAAAAGGAAGCCAAGTTAGGAATTTTGAGTAAATAGTGATAGTACACATTCAGGTTTCTATAAGAAAAATAATTCTCAATGGAATAAGTATTCTAAAAAAATTCTCCATTAAATAAAAAATCAGTAGAAGCAGGACCAACGTTCTTGGCGCGGAGTTTTTCAATTCACTGTCTGTATCAATCTATTCCTCCATCCTTTGATCCGCGTCAAGGACGTTGGTCCTGCTCCTACTGATTTTTTATTTCATGGAGAATTTTTTTAGAATACTTATTCCATTGAGAACTATTTTTCTTATAGAAACCTGAATCTGCACTATCACCATTTATTCAAAATTCCTAACAGGGCTTCCTTTTTTATTTCTATGTATTTTTCAAAAACTTCGATTTCCCAGTAGGAAAAAAACAAAACTTTTTCTTGGCCCAGTTTTTTTACAAAAATTATGGTATTCGGGAGAAGAACGAATTAGATCGTCAGGTAAAATGGGATAAGTGGTGAACGGAATGACAGGCTAATTAACCGGTGGCATAAATTGGGCAGCAGATAAATTCGAAACTGGTGTTTAGTGGGATAGTCGGGTAAAACCAAATTCATATTATATTAAACAAGGAATTGGATAAGACCTCGGAGTAAAATGGGAAAGCGAGGCACGATTGAATAAAGAATTGAAGCGGAGCGATCAATAGCATTCTCGTTCTGTTTAATGCGGAAATCAATTTTTTGCGATACACACCTGAAAAGTGCACTGTTCGAAATGGTTTAATGTGCGTAAAGTAATTGTTTTCCCTACTAGCTTGCGTGAAGTTCACGAACGTGCATAAAAGCAATTACCTTACCCCCATTACTGTTCCAAACAGTGAACTCGGCGGGTATCACAAAAAATTAGATGTGCTACACGTGCGTGCGAAAAAGTGGAAGTCTACGCGTTAGTAACACAATATACCGCATCATCTTTATTCATTTCATCATTCAATTTACACATCCATAAATAATAAAAAAACGAAAATTGCCCCACATAACCTTGTTGTTTAACTAGTTCGCTATAGGATTCACCTCCTATTGCAATTCACCCCGCTATCCCA